CCGACCCCAGAGTTGCCGACGCTGCACGGGAAGGACCTGCTAAGTCTCGTGTCAAGAGCGAGAGACTCGCACCCTTTGGACTGGTCTGAAGGTCCTGGGGTCGCCGAGGAGACGGATCAATGGGACCTCATGGACCCGCACTACGACCTCACCACGGCCAAGCTCACCAAGCTCTTCTCGCTCTTCCAGCCCAATGGTGAGCTGCAGTGATATAAATTTTAATAAGCTAACTACTAATTTTTTTATTTTTGGTCATGCTTAAGAACACGGGATGGTGTCGTATGACGGGTTTCGGCGGGGTTTACAAGCGATGGGGATTTCGTGCGAGAATGAGGACGAGTTCAAGGCCTTTATCGGCCAGGTAGACGACGATAAGAGCGGCGGGATCACATACGAAGAATTTCTGTATGCGATCCAGGAGATTAAACTGGCGCAGCTCTTTAGTCCGGACTTTGTGGAGGCTTTGAATCGAGAGTATGCTAAAATGTACGGCTCCAATGTCCCAGTTGCTAGACTGGGATCGATTGAGTACTCGCCTGATCGCATCAGAAGTGCGTATCCAATTGAAGGGGTGGAGAAGTTCATGTACTCGAAACGACCGAACTGGGCGAGTGTCCGATGGATCAACGTAGAGGGAACGGACCCGCTTATGATGCGGAGGTTGGCGGTGCGATATCGTCTGCATCCCCTTGCAGTGGAAGATACACTGGATTCCGATATTGAACGACCAAAGTACGAACACTACGACGAGCACTCGTCGCTGGTGCTTCAAACGGTTCATGCGCGTGATTTAGAGAAGACTTTGGAGTATCAGAGCATGTATCGCGCCTCACTGTATGTTCGAGATGATAAGGTCTCGCCTTTCGAAAAGATGAGCAAAGCTGAACTGGAGAAACGACTCGACGAACTGGCCATGGGGCGTATTATGGCTCCACCGGAACAACTGAGTCTGTATATTATGGATAATGTGGTTATTAGTGTGCAAGAGTCTGCGAGTACTTTGTGGCCAACGTTGAAGCAGCGACTGCATACTTCGTACTCCAAAGTTCGACAGAACGGCACGGCTTTCCTGGTGTATTCCATCGTGGACGTGTGCATTGATGAGCTGTCGCCTATTGCACACACGTATGGAGCCAAGGTTGCGATGCTATCTCGCCTTCTACGTCACGATCCACGCAACTTCGATGTTGATCGTCTAGCGAAATGTTCGAAGGAAATCAAGGGGCTCAAATTATTGTGCAAACCACTGCGTGAAATGATCACGCAGCTCATGGAGTCGAACGACTTTGAGGGCGAGACGTTGAGATACTTCCGAGATGTTCAAGACCACGTGACAGTCATCGACGAGACTTGTGATCGCCTTCTGGATCGATGTCATAGTCTAGTGAATGATTTCCACAACGCCCGACATGCCCAACAGAACGAAGTGAGCTACACACTGACACTCGTGGCAACCGTGTTTCTGCCGGCGCAGTTCCTCACTGGTCTGTACGGAATGAACTTCGTCAACATGCCGGAGCTGCAGTATGAACACGGATACATGATCTGGTGGGGTGTCGTGTCGACCATCGCCACCGGGACGGTAACATACTTTAAGTTCTACAAGAAATGGCTGTAGGTATCCGCAAGGTCTAACGGATCTTGCAAGTAAAGTTTGAAAAATGAAGATTGGTGCTTCCCAACTAACCTGATACATGCACGGTATGCACTTGCTGCTGTGCGGCGTCCAAAGCTTTTAACAGTTCAGTGGAGATGCAAGTGAATTTCTGGTGAGATGCTACACGTGAAGTACCAGTCCAGCACCTTTCCACTGAACGTCTCAGTAGTAACGATGGCTAGTTGATATTGCACCCCAACACCGCAGCGTTCACGAACGAGCTACTTGCAAGGTCGAGTGTGTAACATTGTAAATCCACCCCAAATCTGTCCGAAAGGCTCCAAAGGTACCCGTTGTGCTTCAATGACTTTCGTGCGCGTTAACATTACTCCATGCCCACTGAACTGGACGAGTCGGAGCGTGTGGGCTCGGAAGACTCCACCAAGAGCACATTCGGTGAGTATTTAATGTCCGTTGCTGGAATGTGGGAAGTGCAACGTCCCTGTCAGCCTCAAGACTGCATGCAAATGATCTTCGCTGCTAACTGTCTCCTGGGCTTTTCTCGGCCGTTATTATCGAATTTGCCCACCTCCGCAAAAGTGAACATCCCGATGCCGCTGCCCGACTTCAGTGGACGTTCGCCTAGTCGACTCGCTTCTGTAACCAGCACTGGTTCGAGCAGCGTAAGTCGAAGCACTGCATCAATGGGTACCAGCAGATATCGGCAGAGTAGCAAGGCACTGGACAACAGACGAGTCGTCCGACAGGAGATCATATGCGCTGGAAGTATCCGTGTTCGCTCGTGCAAGCTTCTGTGGAAGCCAGCAGCTCTCCAACTGATGGTCACCACTACTAGCAGCTTAGGCGAAGATGAAGCTCATTTTGACAATTGTGACGACGACTCGGATGATTCGGATGATGATGATATCGATAAGGTGACTACAATGGCTCAGCCAAACGAGACGCACCACTACTCGATAACTTTCTGCCATCGGTCGCTCATGGGTCATGCACGTCGAGAGAAAATCGAGTTGAATGGCACTCGAGACCCCGTCGAGATCATTTGTGGTGAAGATGGTTTACTGAGCACCCGATTCGAGTTCAGCATTGCATACGGGAGTGTTGGACCGTCTGGACGACGTCGTACTCTCACCTGCCGCGCACGAGATGCTAAGGAATATTTACAGTGGACAGAGGCTCTACGCATGGCCGTGGAGGCCCAAGGGAAGAACAAAAGTAATAAGGGTATCAAGATGAACCGATGCACTCATTCAAACACCTTAACGTCTTCGAAAGCTCCATCAAATTCCCAAGCATCCTCCGACTCCTTCTTTGATGCTGACGTCGAGCTAGAAGCCCGAAAGGAACCACCCACG